AACCCCAAAACCCCAAAACCCCATGAGGTCAATATCATTTAAATATAGAAAATGTTCAATATAATTAAAAAAGTAGAGATATTTAAATTTTAGTGATATGAAGACAAGATCAAAGCAATAATAGTCTATCTAAAATTCGGGAAAGAAAAGAGAGGGAAGCTCAAAGATACAATTAGATGGTATCGGATATAAAAAGGGCGATCTAATTTAGAATCAGCAATTGAGCTCCTCTACTAGTAATTAACAGTACAACTCCTAAGGACAAATTTTGGTTTAATCTTCTTAGCCAATAATGACACATTATGGGGCACCATCTTAGTCCTAGTCTACTCTAATATTTGACGAATCAAAGGAAATTAAGTCTAAAACCAACTTGGCAAATGATAAACTCTTCCTTAAAAATGTTTCACTAAGTAACCATTTTAACTTTAATATTTTATATAGGGAACATGAGATAAATGTATAATCCAGCAGGGAAGAAAAGTATCGGAAGTTCCTAAAGCTTCATTAACTCAGCAATATTCAATTAAAAGCCTATGAATTCTATTAAAACATATGATTCTCCAGCCAATGCGATGATTACTGTTCCAGGACCTTAAAGTCTAGAGCGTTAAATTGATCCAAATGATCCTTTTGATCTAATGATCCACAGAAATGAATCAGTTGTCTAAGTTATTAAAAGACAAAAGAAAAAGAAAGACAACAATGAGGAATCAACTCCTTCAAATATGGCTAATTTATAGCTTTAACATTAGATGCTTCAAAAACAATTGAAATCTATTTCACCAATGAAAGCTTTAGCTAATTCAAATACTAACCTTAACAGTTAAAAGAATTTATTGCAGAAATATAGTGGGCAAGCTGAAAAGATCAGTCAGAGACAGAAGAAAATGGCTGGAATACTTAATAAGAACAGCAGTTAGTAATTTTTGTTAAACAACAACTCTGTGGTAAGCAATAATGTCCTAAGAAAGACTTAGATATCCTTTGCTAATCATATCCCTAACTTATCTAATTTAGCCTCTCCTACAAGAAATGAAAGATAGTCTAGTCTTTAATCGTTGAAATAATAATAGCAATAATAACAAAATTAATAGCAAGTTTATTAATTGCTCTAAACTTAGCAAAACTTGAGTCAGCAAATGCAATAAATAGGGCCACAAAATTTTACAAACTATTAGACTTAATACGCATTTGCACCAAAATAGAGTTTTTCGTAGCAGAACAATCCTAAGAATCAGAAAGTTCTGTCAAAAAGATAAAGCTAAGGAATTCAAAAATCTTAATCAGGAGTCTCATTGGTATAATCTAGTGATAGAAATCATAAAAAGAAAAATCTAAACATAGGGGATCATTATGAGAATTTTTACACATAGATAAGATTAAGATCAGGATCCAGCGATTAGCTCACAATGAATAATTCTAAAGAGGCAGATGATATAAGTACTGGATCTCGTTTCGAAAAAATGGAACCAATCGGAGAAAAAAATAGCCATAACATAGGCAAAGTCCAAAGGAAAAAATCAATGAACGATAAGAAATAGGTTGTTTAAAATATCTAAAACAATATTAATCTTTCATTTGCAGGTGCTTTTTAAACTTAGACTTAAATAATTGACCCATTAGTGTAATAAGTTAAAACCCTAGATTATGAATAATAAAAAAAGATTAGTCTTACTCAAGAAGAACCTGTCGCTATATATCTTGATTCCTTAAAAGAAGTTTCAAATCTTATCAAATCTCAATCATAATCTGCTTATGAGCTGTTGATAAAAGTTTAAATAAGTTTAAAGGAATGCTTTAACAAGCAAAAGCAATAAATGAAAGATGAAATGAATTAATACTAAAAAGTTATTGAGGAGTTATAGGAATAGCTTTAGCTTGAGCAATCAAAAAATGCTACATTTAATCTGGAAGTATCTTAACTCAAGAAAAAGAATAAGCTGTTGGAGCAGACTCTAGCTAAAAAAGATCAAGGCCTTCTGAATCTCTAATAGCAAATTGAAGATTAGCAGAAATAAAGTAGATAATTTTTAGGAAAATATGATGAAAACAAAATTCTTGAAGAAATAAAAGTATTAGTTGGAGAGAATCAAGAGCTAAAATCTGCTGTGAGAGAAATCAAATCTGAACTTGACTATGGAAAGTAAAGAGAGAATAAGCTGATGTATTTTTTATTCGTATTGCAAAGGAAAGGCATACCAATCTACGAGATATTTGATTTAAATATAAAGGATCTACCAACGACTAGGTTTTCACCTGATTTGGATGATTAGTACAAGAAAATATATTTCGAATAGTTAAGGAAATTCATATATCAGAGAAGAATTATCAATCAGATGCCTTTTCCATTTTAGATGGAAAGGATGAATCAAAGTGTTCCTGCTAAGAGGATTAAGTGGTTTGAACAAGACAAAAACGGCCAGTTCGAAAGTAGTAGTATTAACGATATTAGCTAAAACTTGAGTGACAGTTATTATCCAATTTGTAGTGGACCTGTTATAATTCCTACTAAACCTAAAGCTATACCCTCATTAGATTTGAAATTGGTGGAATAAGTATAGTAACAAAGACTTAAGCAATAAATGGAACAAGAAATTATGAAAATGAAACAATAGTAATAAGATGCGGACGACAGCTAAGATGATGATGAATTTGGCGAGGATGATGATAATGAGCAAGAAATTTCAATAGGAGTTAGATCTACTACAAGGATTCAATAGATTTTAAGGAAATCAAAGTATTAACCTTTAGAAGGGATGCCTGTAAATAAGGATAAGAGAAACAGTAAAAAACATTAGGAAATGCAGGTTAATATACTTCGATAACGCCAAAATTAAATTCTCTAGACTAGTTCGCAATAAGACTAAACAGAGGATGACCAATATTATGATGAAGATGAGTCTGATCTAAAGAAATACGAATAGTAGATGGAAGTACATATAAATATTGGGGGAAAATAGCATTATTACAAATGATACGTAGCTTAAATTAATGTTTTAACTTTGTCTAGACTCATTAAATTTATATTTGCCTCCTTTTATTTCATAATTTGATTATAATATTTCCTTCTGGGGTTTTGGGGTTTTGGGGTTTGGGG